CCCGATAACAGAGCGAGGTGCCAGCTTTTAGATCCAAACTATAAGTCGACACGTTCTAAGCCATCTTTATGCAGAGAAAACAACATTAGTTGTTCGGTGATATTTCAACAACAGGATGAACAAGAAAACTCGTCTTTTTCACATGTAATCCAGAACTAATGAGGCCAGAACTAGAAATTGGTGAAAAAAATAGACATGGATTGTAAGTTGAATATTGGCTTAATGGTGAAAATGACACATAGGCGGTAGTAATCATGGGAAATATTTGTATAATGTGTAAAAATGTCAGTGAAATAAAGCGATTGATATGGCATATATGTTTCATAAAAATAACAACGTCTAGGTAAATTCTGAAATAATGTTACAGTGTTGCAAGACTTTGGTAGTGAGAGCATCCATTGAACTTGAACATTAAGGTTTCATGCCACTAATCAACTTAATCAATTTAAATGCCTTTCAAGAACCAATGACATTTTTAAATATTTTTTCTCAGGTGCTCCTGTTTTAGGGCGTGATCACCTGGGTCAAAGGTGAGACCAACATGTGGTCTTTTGTTTACTACTTAGCGACTGTGTACCTGTGGGTTTATTCTGTGTGTTAATGGATGTTCTAATCTTGGTGTTTTCCAGTGATTTCTCTAGGTGCAATTTAAATACAGTAGGTGTGTCTTGTTTACTTGAGATTTGCGAGAGTTTGAGCTGGCCAACATGTTAGTTTTTTTCAAGTGGTTGATTACTGGCATGTTGATTTCCCTTTTTGAGCCATGTTTTCAACTTTGTTCATCATTTTCATATGTTAACATTGTCGTCTATGGAAATTCAATTAGTGGTATGAGCCCTGAAGAGACGGTCAATGTTTATTTACATTCCGGTGACAGTTTGCATATTCACAACTGTATGCGTGAACACACAGCGATACGGACTTGGCGCCCATGCTCGGCTAACTGTCCAACCACTCACTTTTGGGACATTCCTATTTTTTGGGGTCACGTAGCCTAAACCCCAATCTTCTCCAAAATACCCCATATTTGACCGTATATTCATAAAAACCTGGTCTTTGATCCTTGTTTGACTTATCTGAATACCGGCAATCGAATTAATATAATGCACAACCGCCGCCGTGAATATCTTGTGTACGCGTCCGAGTCGACCACGGTAACGGTGCGTAAACTATGCCCCGACAATGACAAACGTGAAGGGCCGTTAATACTTCATTCCATATTCAGTTTTTCCTACAAAAATTGCATATTACCAGTTTTAAAAAAATCATTCATTTTTTTGCCGAAATCAAATCCAACAGATCGTACTTTTTGCATTCTGATTTGTTAATAACAGACTATCGAGTCAATATACGTTGTTGCCTGTCGAATTGTCCAAGAGAACATCTTGGCGGAAAATACTTTGCATCGAGAGTTTGCGTAGGATCGAATGCACTCGACAGTGAAGATAATGAAGCTTTTGACTTCGACTGTGTTTCAACAAACCCTGATAAGTTTAACTTCGTAATTTTTAGTGGTACGTAATTAGTATTGCAGCAATAAAATATGCGTATTTTTGTGACGATTTATGTTTTTCTTAATTGTAAAAGTGGGGAAAAAATGTTTCTTTAGCACTCCACCCTGACCCTAACACTAACCCTGCCTCCATCCTCCGGCGATCCCTAATTTAATTGTACATATACGGTTATATAATTCAATTGAGGCTTGGGCAAGGGTTAGTCTTGATTTCTAATAACTAATTTCGCAATTTTATTTTGCCGAATAAGAAGTATTATTATACATCTGTCACCGTGACGCCATAAGTTACAGCGTGTCGTAATTTTGCGGTATTGCACTGGATATTTTCACCTTACCATATTAGGAAACTCCAAATATGGAACGATTACGCGCGTAAGCGTCCTCTGATAATAACAAAATAATCATGGCTGCCGCCAGGGTTTGATGGTAAACCATACAAAGAAGCTCGCTAAATCTGTTTTAAACGTTTTGGATTTCGGCATTCCTATGATGTATTCCTGGGAGGAAAAGATGTACATTAATAATATTCATAACATTCCTTTCAATCTGTCAATATATGTATAAAATAGAGTCTTCTGAACAATTGGGAAATATTCGTCCCAAAATAAGTAACACTGATACAGTTGAAGATTTAGAGAAAAATGTGCAAAATAAGAAACCGACCACAGATTGCGACTTTGAGTGTAGTGCAGTTCGAATACAGAAACTGACATTACCCAGGGTATTACTGGGTAACTCATAGAATGATTGGAACGAATCGGCGAATATATAAAGTCGGTATTTAGTGCAAATTCAGATCAAAACTCGTATGACAAATGACAATCATATATAATAATATAGATATACACTTTATTTTGTGTAGCGAGTCACGTACTAACCATTATACATGAATAAAACTGCCAGTATAAATTGTTGTTGTTTTTTAAGTGGTGTGCTATCAAAACTCAGAAGTTTAACACTTTTGGAATTTGTGAAATATTAAGCAATGTATTTTATATTTTTTTTTTATTTCTAGGTTATATCTTCGGTTAAAAAAGCATTGCAACCTTTCATCAGCGAAGTGACAATCGAGTGGTCTTTGCCAGCTGGTCTGCAGGTCAGTCAGAGTTTCACTGAGACCCCCACGCTGATGCCCGGAGAACGCTTAATAATCTACGGTATCCTCTACGACACATGCGCAGTTACGAGACAGAGCGAAGAAACAACGAGCGCCCCAAAGCGAAGTCCGTATAACGAGAAGGTGTCTTCAAAGGATATATGTAGTTATGATGAAGTTACTAACGTGAATAGTAAGTCCAATTAGTGAACATACGAATACGTATGTTGTTTAAGCAGACATTATTGACAAAGTATAGTGCGCCGTGACATGTCTATGTGAATAGTGGTAACACCACTTTTTATTTGTTTGTTTGTTTGTTTGTTTGTTTGCTTGCTTGCTTGCTTGCTTGCTTGCTTGCTTGCTTGCTTGCTTGCTTGCTTGCTTGCTTGCTTGTTTGTTTGTTTGTTTGTTTGTTTGTTTGTTTGTTTGTTTGTTTGTTTGTTTGTTCGTTCGTTCGTTCGTTCGTTCGTTCGTTCGTTCGTTCGTTCGTTCGTTCGTTCGTTCGTTCGTTCGTTCGTTCGTTCGTTCGTTCGTTCGTTCGTTCGTTCGTTCGTTCGTTCGTTCGTTCGTTCGTTCGTTCGTTCGTTCGTTCGTTCGTTCGTTCGTTCGTTCGTTCGTTCGTTCGTTCGTTCGTTCGTTCGTTCGTTCGTTCGTTCGTTCGTTCGTTCATTCATTCATTCATTCATTCATTCATTCATTCATTCATTCATTCATTCATTCATTCATTCATTCATTCATTCATTCATTCATTCATTCATTCATTCATTCATTCATTTATTGCAATAAGCTAAAAATGAAGTAAATAAATCCATCGTAACTTGATACATGACTTAGTTCAATATCTGTCATATGTCTGATTATTTTAGATAATAACGTGGATGAGCTAAAGCCTGTTCCGCAAGTAAATCATCTCGACAGTAGCGCGTTAGTGGCACTACGACAGAAGCTATCTCGTGACGAGTCAGAGTCTGACAAGAACGAAGTAGAAGAGATAGTCGATGACCAGGTAACGTTGGTTACATTATATGATGGCCTTTCCTGTTTATAAGCCAGCTCTGACCCACCGTGTGGCCAACGGTAATGTTTTCAGCAAAGTTGCGACTATGTATTGACCGATCAAATCAAATAAGTTATTTATGTAGATGTCTGTCTTGTATAGTCCAATAGTCGTGGATAGCGGCCATTTTGGCAGTATTATAGTGCTTTTACAATAGGTTCCTATGGAACAGATATTATGCCATATCTCAAATTGTAGGCTAATGACATAGGCTGAAAAAATAATATATTGTTAATGGTGGGGTATTTTTTGTTTTCCTGATTTTTTTCAAAAATCTGGGTTTTTAAAAGTGTCAAAAAATGCAATTTTTGTTTAACATTGCGCTCTATGGAATTGTTCTAAAAATAGCGATTTTTGAAAAAATATTAGGCACGTTTCTCAAAATACGCCAATGTAACACACAAGAGAATGCTATTTCAGTGTGCCTTGGGACAATAGCTCTATGATTTTACACAATAAACCAATGAACGTTTTCACGCGATTTATGACCAACAAAGTTCAAGTCGAGGTGTCGTCACCTGCGCATGCGTCAGATGGCCATAGCGTGTCATTGTTTACAAACACGCGTCTACCCATGAGCCTTTGCGTTTTAGCGTGTGTTGCTATCATCGCTTGGGACTCAATTCCCGCTTAAAATATTTATTATTACAGTGTATATATAACGTATTTACCTGCGAGATACAGCATTCTGTATATAGCGTTTTTTATGATTATTATTATTTATTATTATCATAATCATTAAGTTATCCCATCTGTTCGACTATATATATATATATATAAGTTGGGATGATATTAAAACATTCAGTCCCTATTTGTTTTCAGGTTCAACAACGATACTTCGACATCTTGTCTCGGAGTGGTAGAGCTTTGTCCAATCCCGAGACTGCCTTCGATTCCGCGCTTCTTCGAAAACTACTGGACAGCCTAGCCGAGGAGCAAAGAGCAAAGGCAGTAAGGAAAGAGGAGCGAAGGGCTAAATATCGGGAGAGACTGACTAACAACAACGGACCGAGACGAAAAATCAGCGATATCGTCCTTGCACCATTCAGTTCAGAATGGGACAATTTGCTTCAGGGTTTGGAACCAAGTCCCTGTGACAGTTTGTTTCGATTTTCCTGGGACGAGGATGGGCTACTCCCGTTAAAGGAAGGGGGTAAAGAGGGTGTCGCTGTATTGAGAGGACTGTTCTGTGGCCGGCCTTTCCATTGCCAAATATATTTCGATTTGTCCAGCATTATTGATGGGTCACCTAGGTCTCTGAACGAGGAGGAGTTCTTTGATGACACAGTTCACCGCTTAGCAGCAAAGTCTTGTATACAAGCAGTTGAGAGCTTGTACTACCAAACTGCAAACAATGAAGGTAATACTAAGTAGTCATTTTTGAAGACCCCTTAGTTGAATGTCATTTCTTCCAATTTTCAGTGATGTGGGCCACGTCCTGTGCGATAATACAATTTCCAAACAATGCAAAACATATAATAATAATAATTACTTACTAAAATAACATATTATTTCTGTTGGTTGGGAAGAACTAGCTTTTCTTTTCTCTGATTTTTTTAGTCGCATCGCACAACTGTTTTAATTTTTAAGACATGTTTTTGGTACCCGTATATTCAAATTTTTACTTCCTGATGACATAACCAAGATTTTCATTTTTGATAATTACTCTCCCTTTAAAAACCAGCAGCATGTGTTTCATGGATATATAGTAATTCAATCTCACTTTACCAAACCGACCTTTGTGGCTGTTGTTTGGAAAGTGTTCAAGCTTGATAACATGTTTAAGCTGTAACAGATTCTGTGTCATTCCATTGAAAAATGATTTCATGGCCCTATCAATTTATCTAACTAATTAGACTATTAACGCTCATTTTTTTGCTAAACCGGAAGCAACAGTTAGAGTAAGATGATTTGGCCTTTCCGGATCTAAGTTAATTTTGCTAAAGTACAATTTTGTTTTTGTTTTCAATATATCCCAATATTTACTTACATGAACTTATTTCGGTGGCATGTCTTATGTGCGCCCGGAGTTACCTGTGCATTCAGGATGTAAAGAGTTATTGATTGGTGTCAAAACAAGGGTTGTTTTTTTATAAAAAATTCACACACTAAAATGTTGATATCAAAATACAACATCGAAAAAGAAAATTTTAAACACATCATCACAATGACGGTATTTAACAAAGGCGGTATATGCTGACCGAGCGAAATCGACGTATTTATTTTAAAACGTTTTTCGATTTTGATTCTTCAAACAAAACGTATTAGATTCCCACGAATCGAGAATTGTGCCCTGATTGATAAAGAATGGGAATTCGTTATATATATTCTACAAATAACGGGAAATCGTGAGATCTCAATTGCAAATGCAGCTTTTGCTTGAAGCCTGATTGCCTACTAGGGCGAAAACAAGCATGCGTGTTTAGCAGCTCCCCGTTTCAGATCCCACGAGATGTAGTAATACGCAATGAGTTTACCAAACTGTAAACACGAGGTCGTATTTCAATCAGTCAACTGTGGTGGACATAACATGTCCATTACAATTGTGTCTACGGATGAAGTCAGCGGAAATCTCCTAAGAGTTGAGGTGGAAATTGTGTTCCGCTTTCAAATGTCAGGATGGAAAGAAATTAACAAGCCTTTCACGTAATCTCTCTTTCTATTGATGTACAATCTACCCTATCTCTGCCCTACCTGTTCAGATGCTGTTGACAGGGCATTGCCAGACAGAATATAACATTATTGTTTTTTCGAAAATATAATAATTTGATTCAATTTAAGATTTGTTTAACCCAAATTATAAGAATAATACTGCATAATGCTGTCTCCATCTTACGTGGTTGCTACTCAAATTTGCATGATATTTCATCTTATTTTTTAGCCCCCCTCGCTAAATCTTACATTATAACTATCAACAGCGTAATCACGTAAGTGAATTATTCACCAATATGGTAATATTTTGCAGACATCCTCAAAAGGGATCGCCGTTCAGTCTGCCCCAAGCAAACTGCTCCACGCGTTTCCTTGACTGCGCCTCTTATTTCAATTACAGCCGCGGCGAAAGATGGAAATACCACATCATGTGACGTCATCAACGATTGTGAGAGCTCTGCGAAACTGAAGACTAAAAGCGTTGAGATAAGTGAAGCCAGTGGCGTTATATCGAGACAGACTACCTTTGTTACTGTAAACCAAGAAACAAACGAAGAGCTGCCTAACTTTGTCCAGGTAATCATATAAACCCACATGTACGCCTTCATGTATATTTCAACTCTAATTATCAGCTTAGGATAATCCTTGGATTAAAGGAATAGTCGTCAGATAAATAACGCAGATCGGGGATAATCATTTTAACTCCAATTTACGAGGACCTGGGGATTGGTTTATCCATGGTGTATCATATAACAGAATGCCTAATTATATAAAAGCTTACAAGCGCACAATCACATTTCAGCTAATTTGGACGAACTATAGGCCGTCGCTATGTGACGTCATATGTTTACGTTTTCGGAAACCAGCTTGCGAATGTCTCTCGCTGATCAGCACTAACAGGCCTGTAAGTTGTTTTATTAACAGAAACACACATATGTATATTTAAATACAACGGCAGCAAACAACGCCATTATTGTATCTTCGACTGGCGAGTACGAACGACCGGTTCGTGTCAGTCAGACACTGCGCACGCGCAACCGCGTAGAACGTAAAAAAGTGCAACGGCCTGGAGATTGATTGTCGTGATGCCCAAGTACAAAATTTTATCTACTCACAATCTCAAGTTTATTCATTTAAAGCACGGTGGTCGTCGCGCAATCGCGTGTTTGAATTTCATGTAAATAAACAATGTATTTTAAACGCGTTGTATACGTCGCTATGAGTCCCATATCGAACAGGACGCGGCGCGACGACCACCGCCCTTTAAGTGGCGACGTCAAACCTTTAACAGAATAAAACCTACATAATTGTTTCCATAATTTTCCAAAGTTTTCATGTTGAATGACACTTGTAACGAAATTGGGAAATTATGTAAATTTGATCCAAAACTTTCAATAATAATACAGGAAAAATATTGAAAATATGGAAAATGTTGCACCATCATTTTGGTGAGAGGGGGGGGGGGTATGCAAATTTATAGGGTTATTTCATTATAATATCAACATAAATACATTTCATGATTTAAATTTGTTTTTTACTTTTTTATTCACAGTTTCAAAGTGAAAATCGTCAGTGTATTTTTAAGTGCAATAACGCAAATAGATAGCAAATCAGCAAAGAACATACACTACATTATCAAATCCGTGAGAGGAGAATTTTTGAGCCTCCATTCAATAGCAGGTGTTTAGGATAAAATTGTAAGCAGTATAGATTAAGAGATATAACAAAGTGTCAAATCATTCAATAAGTTCTTGTAAAAAATGTTATGTTACAGACTCAGTCGATAAATCGGGGTATCCAGAAGACAATCTTTCGACGCTGTTCTCAACGCCGTAGTGGTTATACAGCAGGCCTGGGTAGGCGCCTTGATGCTTCTTTTAATGACACTGATGAGGACGTGTTTCTTTCAACCGGTATGTGTTCCATTGATTCTCGTTGATAATGATCAACGTGCGTCGCGCAGCACATTAGACAGATGAAATGATGCACCATGGTTAAAGTCGGTTTAGGTGGAATCCTGCTTAGAAGTGTAAATTACAATCGGAAGGTCTCCGTAGGGCAAAGATATTCCTGAGCAGGAAGTTGGCTTAACAAAAGTGTGAGGGTCACCCTTCTATTTCCCGCGACAATATTGATTATATTGTTGAGTGGCAGTCATTTTCAGTTTTAAGAATGGTTTGGAAATTATATCATATCTCAAATTATTGGCTCGTGAAAAATGGGTTGACAAGTATATATTTTGACTTTATTGTAACAGTTATCAATGCAGTTGTCTATTACAGATTTTGTTGATACACGTTATTATATATCATGGACAATTTATTTAATTGTTTACTATTCAATCTACAGGTTTTCCTGATCCTCTGTCTAATTCCAGTCATCCCATATACAGTGGAGGTTGTCCCTTGGATGAGTACGTTGATCCTCCAAGTCCCAGTCCTACATATCTTACAAAGGGAACAATGTTTGGTATGTAACACAATTATCTTTTCATATACCGGTAACACAAGATACAGCATTGACTCGAATTTCCCATACATTATAAGAGTTAACGTCTATGCATTGTATTCAGCACACATGCATGATCCTGACAACTTTATGTCTTAAGCAAGTGTTAGGAGAGTCACACACAAATATATAGTTCATGTGATTTGTTTTGTTTGGGTTTCAAAACAGGGCCTTGTATGTACCATCCTTAAGATTCCTTGGCGGTTATTCGGGTGTAATAATCTGTTCTCACTAACTTTCTCCTCATCGCAGGTCGTCACTTTTCATTCAGCACATCCATAAGTTCAACAGCCATAAATAATGATGAACGTTCGTCGTCTCTGAAAAAGAAAGCAACCTCTCTATTAGCTGGGAAGCTGTCACGGGGCAGACTGGGCAGTGTACCTTCAAAGAAACCGATGTTCAAAGCATTCATTCCTGACCGAACACTAAGTACAGAAATGGTTGAGCTGATCTCATTGGTGGATCTACAGATGGCATGCGGTGCCTGGGAGCTCAATTATAAATTGGCGGAAGCAATTGACATACCTCTGGAAAGTTTAAGACGATCATCTCCTCTTTGTTACATGCGTCCTCCTGCGTGCACGTGTGGCCAGGAGATACAGATCCGAGTGGAAGATCTCTCTGAGGAAGTGGACAGTGGAGAAGAACGTGAATCAGATGATCGCGGGAGTAGTGCTAGTACTCCTGGCACTCTTAGGAGACAACAACGTGTTTCCGAAGATGATGCTCATACAGCAGAATTGGTGGATGGCGACATCCCGGGGCAAAGTGATGATAACCCGGATTGTGATCTCCCAAAAACGACTCCAAAAAAGATTAACGCCAAGAGTAGGCAAGGAAGTCGAGAGGTTCCAGTAACACAGAGTGAGAAGCGTGAGACAATAGCTTTGTTTCCTGAGAGCGGGATGACAAAGAGACGAAAGTTCAGCACTAGTAAAGATTCGAAAGATTCTTCTTTGTCGATGCACAATTCAAGCCAGGAAATACCTTCAAAAAGACCGGAGTCCTATCGCTTTGGTAGATTTTCAACAACAGATGAAGAATTTTCAGAGTTCTCTGATGTATTTTCACCTACGTCGCCGCCCGACTTTGGAACGCCCATTTTCCGTATTGATGACGAGGAAACCAACCAGTTATGGGCCACATCGCTTGCTCTCTCCTGGCTTGAATATAAATGTTCCAGTTTTTTTGAAGAATGGGAACTCATTGCAGCAAAAGCTGACAGATGGTTGTCTGTTCAGAACTTGCCAAATGGATTTGATTTGCCGAGTCTTAAAGCTGCTGCAGCTCAGGTATTGGTGCTATTAGGCAGGCCAAAGTTACAAAGGCAGGCCAGCGTTGGTCAGTAAAACCAACACTTAATATGGTGCGCCCTAGAAGCTCAATGTTGTTCACAATCGCATTGTTATCGACAGTTACCTCAAATAATGTAACAACAGTGTTCCTTAGATTGAACAATAGGCACGATTTTTAAAACTATTCTTTCCAAAATAATGAACTTTGAACCTTCATGTCCAGCCACCATTCACATAGAGGTTAATGAAACGCATCAATGCCACTGGTACTAAATTATTCATACTTTAGTTAATGATGCATATCACCGGCGCTGGTAGTAACTCATTATAGCAATCTTTCGTTTGCTAAGGTTATGTAAATTACAGAATTAGACCAGGTGGCCCGTTCCATTCTAAACTGAAATAAGGCTAAAATGACTGCAGCCACGCAGATATATCAAAGCAGGTGTAAATACTATTATGAAACATGTGTTTTAATTAAGCAATTATACATTCGATAAAAGTGTAATTTCAATTTTAATTTCTATATTTAATCATTAAATGGTGTTCATAATAGGACATTCCACGATGCGTAACACAAATACGTCTAATTTCTATAAAATTGTTGATGGATGTCGAGTATTGTATATTTTTATGTATTATGTAAATCAAGACGTGAGTTACAAAATATAAATGTAAATTTACATTGATAACATTATTATGCACTATTACAATTTATACCGTTTACTGTTCTTAATGTGCGGCAATACGGATATCAACATATTGTATGTAAACAATGGAAGGCATCATTCCTATAAATTGCACTCTCTCGTGATGAAACATGATGTACATAGTTGGAAGTAACGTCGTCCAAATCGAGCACTGTTTTTGTAGTCGTTTGTCATCTAGTATAAACTCTCTGAAACTTTTTATTGTGGTATGACTACAGACCATATCGATATGGCCTCCTGAAATAGTTTCTATGTGCTTTGTCACAAGAGGGCGTGCTTTAGTAATGTTATTTCTGAAAGTTAAGGGATCTGTAATAAAGTACTGCCGTTCGATCAATGCATAACATAACCATATTTTCTGGGTAGCTGTAATTGACACCTACACTGCATTCGATGTATGTAAATTTTAATACGCTTAAAGCGGGGGAGTCGTCGCCTGCGCATGCGTCAGATGACCATAGTGTGTCATTGTTTACAAACAAGCGTCTACCCATGAGCCTTTGCGTTTTCTCGCGCGTGCGCAGGTGACGACCCTCCCGCTTTAAGCTTATCACTGTAATATAATTTTCGCGACTCTTTATACCTCAGAACACTTATATTGTATATTATTTTATCAAACCACAGAGATATAAGGATATGTATATTTAAATTGTTTTTTACACGTCAGCAGATATATGGGCAATATTTATATGGTGCTAGATGAGGTATACATCAAGATTTTAAACTACAACTGATTGTGGACAGAGAAAGGGCCTGTGTGGCAACATTTGACAATAATGATAATCATATGTAGATATTTTTCACCAATTTTACTTACCACCTAAAAATTGTATATACTAGTATGGCTACACATATCTTACATAGAGGCACATTCAGTTTAGCTTAAAGCGCGGTGGTCGTCGCGCAGCGCGTGTTCGAATTTCATGTAAATAAACAATGTATTTTACACGCGTTGTATACGTCGCTATGAGTCCCATATCGAACAGGACACGGCACGACGACTGCCTTCCTTTAATATTCGATGACATTGTATTTATCGATGTGTCGGGAACATTGGTTGATCTGGTATTGAAACATAACAAGGATATTCCACAATAAGGTGATATCAACGAATTGTACTAAAATCCGTATAAATACCTGTAACATACATAGCATATCATATACATTATTACTGATTCGGTGTATTTATCATACTTTAGTTGTTGACAGTCTAATGAATGATTTCGCCGATGGTCACGTGTTTAGTAAGGCAAATCGAGACACTGGAGAATACAGGAACGAGCAACTGCGGTATTTTCTTTGCGGAATGTCTGTTGGGACTCGTGTTGTTTCGAGCATTCAACATGCAAAAATTGCCTTCGAATATTCCAAGACATGATACATCATATTACTATGTTTTTAACTAAATTGATACACCGAAAACCTGAATTTGAAGGTGGCCAGGCCAGCAAACGATAATATTTTCATACGTCGATGTTAAAGCGAAAACAAGTCTACGCCACATAAAATGAATAGTAGTACCTAAATTAAATCTGCTGTGAGACGTATTTGATATATGTTTTCAATAACGATTTGCCGTTATACAGCGGCTGTTGACTTGTTACGCGCATAGAACGCCGTGCCGCAGGCGAGAAGTTGCATGAAACATCATTAATGTTTACCGCTGTTGCCTGTTCTTCTATTCTTCTTTGTTTTTGAATAAATCAACTCAAGATTCTTTATTGTTTATTAAAGCGTTTTCAGTCACATCTGCAACACACAGTTCAGATGTTTCATTTACAGATCCAATATTTTTCATTTTATAATAATAATTGTGATTTACAATTTTGTACTGTATTGTGTACGTAATAATGCACAAAATGAATTTAATATTAACCTGTCTGGCCACTGTTTTTTCACAGAATTCTGTATTTTTTGCTACACTTTCCAATTTTTCTATCTACAATTTTAAGCACAAGCTAGAACGTTAACTTACTGCAATAAAGCATATTTGTTTAAACTATAATACGATTGTGTTTCTACATAGCTGCAGCTACATATTAGATAATGACGCGAATATTCGATTGAGATACACACATACGTTATCTTATGAGAAAATTAGTTTTATTTATAGAATCATATGAGACATTTCGTTCTTTGAATCTAATGACCTACTAGTATTTTTCTGTAACATCGTGACTAAGACAGGTACTCATTGTTTGTAACCATGTTCATATGATAATTGAATTGGTTATATCTGATTGAAATAAACATACTTTTTGCCTTGGGAAAACAAAAACTTCGAGAAGGTCAGGATTTTTAAAGTAATTACAACTTTAATAAATCTAAATAAACATGTATTTATGGTCATTATGTGTCTGAGAGTAGTGAACTCGGAAAAGTAAGGTCATTATTATATATTTGAAAATAAACACATTAACACCCGGATGTAGATAAAAAAATATGCATATAGTTGAAGTGGTTAAACATGATACTTTGTTGAGTGTTTTCATGTTTATCTTGGTAGTTTATATTTCACTCTCGCTCATATGCAATCACATCCTCTCGCATTTTGTGATTTCAAAGACGTCTTCTCTTCAGCCAGACACGCTTTACTCATCTGTCCTTATTCAGATTGGCCTAGTAATTATTGTGTGGATTGGTGGGTAGAAAGAATGCATGTTTTAAAAGATGTGATCTTTTCTGAAACATTCTGTTGTGACAGCATTTCGTACTGATTTCAAGCAATATTCGGATTATAATTTATATTTTATTCATACACTTAAGGGTTTAAAGCTCTAGAATATTAATATATATCTGGTTAGTCGTTACTTCTCTGCACTTACAAGAATAACATATACATTACGAGTTATCAGTGTGCAAAAGACAGAAAATATTTTTTGTACGAACGGTCATTATGATTTAAATGCACGTATATAAACGGTATATATCTCTGTCTAATATCATTATATTGTGTTTTGACATACAAAGAGAAAGTGTACGCACAAATGCCTATCCTGAAGTTATGTGTCGTATCTAATTTCCCATCAGAATCAACCACAAAATTTCAATAGTCTATACACCATGTTATCAGTATCAAACTGAGATTAAAACGAAAGTACTTGTCAATTGAGAAACAGAGGGGAGTATATTCATTCTTAAACATCTAAATGCACATCTTGGATACTCATACTAGCAATGCGTTTTAACTGTTAATCGTTATCAAGTAGTACCACTTCATTATCATAACATCAAACTTCAATTGGAGTAGTATGCTCAAGTTATATGCTATCCTCGGGGCGGACATCCGGGCATTTTCTACCGCCTGGCAACCCTCGCGGTGAAAACAAAGACCAAAAACTCGCAGAAAACGGTACTTTGCGATGGTTGTTGAAAGTCCCCTGAACAGTGTAACAAGATTAGCCCTACGTGTGTAACATATATGAATTTGGTTGTTCAGGATTACTTCAAAGTTGAGTTTGTGTTGTTTTCTCGAGTTTTCACCGGCTCCACCGGCGTTCCACAGCAGCGCGCACTAAGCCCATAGAAATACGTGGTACAGTGATGCGCGTCTTTGCAACGTAGAACGTCTGTGACGTAGCTCCGCCACGAGGATACTTCTTTAAAATATGCTAGAAACACAGTGACATATTTGTCATGAAATGGATGACAAAAAAAAAGAACAAAAATTATAAAGTGACTTTTGAGAATATGCAATCTCAGGTTTGGGAAGATGTACTGATAAAATGTGACGATACATTGTAAATTGGATTGTTAACACGTCATATACCTTTACATTGTAAAATCGGTCCCATTTTTGACAATCAAGGTAATTACACAATTTTTAAAAACTGGTCTGAGAGAAAATACATCTTATGGTCAACAGAATTAAGTAGTTTTAAAGCTGGTGAATAAAGTCTGTCCCTAGACAGTTGTGTGAATCGAAATGTACACCCAGCATGATTTGTGTTGAGATTTACCGTACTGTAACTATGTCGTAGTGGGCGCTTTCCACATCGCTCTGGGAAAAAATTAACTTTCGACACATGCCGTACAAAAAGTTCATTTGTTAATGTCAACTATTCTGTCCAGTTTCATCCATTTATTGGTAGTTGTAATTCTATTAGGGACGACGTCAAAAGATCGATGTCGGATAAAAAACTTAATTCCTTTA